TAGCAATCTCGACTGGTTCTAATATCAAAAACACGTTCGAATGATCCCCCTCCTACCTGCACCTACCTGCGGTTTCAACCTGGTTTGACCAGTTCAGCACCGCATCACCTTACCTTTCTACTTTTGATGATAAATGTCGAACTCAGGTTTGTTTATCAATAGTTCATGGACGTATCAACTTAGTTAGGTCCGTTGGTTCCATGACCCAAAATGGAACCATAATAATAATAAAAATAAAGATAAATAATTAAATAAAAATAAACAAAGAAAAAAATATTGATGGGAAGGGAAAGAGAGGAACCCATTGATACCCTTTTGGTCCTACCAGACGGGCCCGTGCTTAGGACCAACTACAAAAGTCAAAGGGACAATCCTGTGAGACACTTAACCTCTAGACTTCTCTGCTTGCGCTCCACAACTCTATCGTCGCCAATAGTTGGCCTTGATCCCCGTATCCGCAACTTGACAGTCTGACGTCGTAACCTATTATGCCAGTCCCATGGTTAATATAATAGGCACGAATTTCCTTATAAAACATAGTTGCCTTGGTCCTAGGTTTGTCAAACTGCCCTAAAGACCACACTTTGGCTGTCCAACCACATCCACGGTTGCTGCACACCCGCCTCTGCCTCTTGGAGGGGTCAGTTATACCCACAATTTGCATTGATGCAAAGGATTTCGATCTCCTCAATTGGCTACTCGTTCAAAAGACCGTACTTTCAGTATCTCGACGTCGGAAAGTCTCGATTTTTACTCATAGTATACCCCACTCACGCAAACCCTGCTTTGATCGTTGATCTTTTAGCGTCAAACAAAGGATCCAACGAGGTCTGTACTACACAACTTAAATGGCGACTTAGGTAAGTCAACGAAATTCACCTCAATCTCAATTCTCAGTTCTGATAGCTAACCTTGATGTCGGTCATGATAATGTCGGCCTCTGCGGGTGCTCACTAAACGTGCGCAGTGATGCTAACCAAAATTTAAACATTTTTTTAGCTCGCATTATCGTACGAGATCATTAACTATACTATTGGTTTGCTAAATCATCAGATGTCTGGTTAAATTAACGTGTGTCCCAAAGTGCACGCTCACACACTCTTAGATCTAACCATACTCGTACTTGTCGTTTCGACTCCTGAGAGTCGGTTGTGGGTCGTGCAAAAATGTGTTGCTGAACTATCATCAAAGACGTGTCTCATGCAAAACACAAAAGTACGCACGTATACCTTTGTAAGGATATTTGTGCCGACAACGGCGGTCAAGCTTATCATCCAACGTTCCGGGAATTCTCGTTGCACAAACTTCGATAGTATTCAATCATAGTTTTTTTTCTTTGTCCTTACTTTTTCTCTACCTTTCCTCTATTGTTGGGATGTGTCCTCCTCGAACATGAGGTGAATGAGAGTCATTGTTTCAATAACGCTTCAATGGACACCTTAATGCTTTACTCTCTCTCCACATCTTCTTCCACGACCACTCCTTCGACTCATTATTGATCTTTGACCGCTATTAAATAGACAATCGTTTGTCGGAGGCAAGGAACTGACATTTACCATGCTCACATCGCTCCCCGTTCACGTTGAGTCCCAATTATATCAGTATCCTCTCTGGTCTACCTATCCCTCATGCTCTCATTATCATTGTCTACCCTTTATTGAGGTCATGTACACACAACAAGTGAGGGAATGAAAGTTGACGAAGTAAGCGAGAAAAATCATGTTGAGCTAGTACAGGGGAAAGCATGAACTGTCACGGGAGGGGGGAAAGTAAGAGTTGGCATTGCAGGGGGGAAAGTAGGAGTTGATGTTGCAAGGGAAAAAGTTAGAGTTGACGCAATAAGGAGAAAAGTAGGAACTAATGAAGCAATAACAGTCCATATTTTTGTATGCATGGGAAAAAGTTGCATAACTGAAGCAAAAACTGTTGCTGGAAGATAGTACATTTGTTGATATGGCCCTTACGTCCAGAGTTTTACCAATGCACAACACCATGGAAGGTTGTAGAAGAGTCTGTCTCGATAACCCCCCACCACCCAGTCCCGAACCGAATGCCAACACAACCCCGACTTATTTTAAGTTGTGCAGTGTCCCCCGTACCTGAAGACAAATGCGACACACTGAGAACAGATGCATTGAATGCTGGTCCGTACTTAAAAAGAGGAAGAGGAAAAAAAACTTATAGCATTGTTAGAGGTTGACGAATGACAGTCGTCACCTCTGCCGTCGACGACATAATGTAGGCTTGCATACTCTGACCACCTTCTGGTGGTGATGCGACGTGACCGATAAGAGTTTGACCACATGCATGTCCTTGCAGCTCATGCTGTGCTGGCGGGTTCTGCGACAGTCGCAAGATGGCAAAATGTGTTTTATCCATTTGCACACACCAAACAAGCACGACCTAAGAATTCATCGTGGAATTATGTGTGGTGTTCTCGGCGCTCACATGTGGAAGTATGACAATGATGACACAAAATAAGAGACAATTTTTTCATCCTTCTTCCGTCGATAACATAATATCTCTCTTTCTCTTTCTCTCTCTTTGTCTCTCTCTTTGTCTCTCTTTTTCTCTCTATCTCTTTCTTTCTCTCTCTCTCTCTCGCTCTTTCTCCCCCTTCCCCTCCTCTCTATCTATCTAGCGGCGTACGCATATATTTATGCATCGAAAGAGCCGATGTCAATGTTAAGTGTCGATGAAGAACAATATGCAAACTTCATGAGTGGTGAAAATGTCATCGCCATCCTCTCCCTTCTTTCCAAGTGTCACGTATGCACTCAAATAGCTCAACGACAATAGTGTCAGACATCAACAATGTTGCCTTTTTTTTTGTGTTTCGCTTTTTCTCACATCCAATATATTTATTTATTTATTTGTCTATCTACCTGCCTATATATTTATTTGTCAAAAGTCAGGAACAAATGAAGTCTCGATGAGGAATACGGATGAAACCCCACATGCAAAAAAAATGTAGGACGCTTTCCCTCCACTGTCGACTTCATGTCAGCACTCCGTTGGCGACCAACACATTGCCAATGACAACGACAGTGTGCTCGGCGACGTCCTTCCTTGACTTCGCAGGAATGAAGAGACTGCACCACCGAAAGATGCCTTGCTGGGCTGAACGCAACCAAAACGACTATGGAGGCTCACGTCATTCACCACCAACCAACGATGCTAAACAAGGCAACGAGCTCTCACGTCCTTCACTGTCAGATCCCAACAAAAGGAACGTGTTCGTAAGTCCCACGGTGATGCAAGGCAGATGGTGCGTGGTTCGAGTGGGGAACGAGAAGACGACTAACGTTTTCCCTCGAACATAACGTATATGTGTTGTATTCGAGTTAAAAAAAACGTTTTTCAGAAAGTTAGACCCTTTTCTTCGAATATAAGGGTGCTTCGAATATAATGCATATGTGTTCTATTCGAATAATATGCATATGCATTATATTTGAATTTTATGAAGATAAAATTATTGTATTCGAATATAACTTCCCCCCCCGAAGGTCAATGCCTGCTCCGTTCTTACCCTGGTGAACGGGACATGCCCGTGTAGGCCTGTAATCACAGATCATTTTCCGTGCTCTCTCTCTCTCTCTCTCTCTCTCTCTCTCTCTCTCTCTCTCTCTCTCTCTCTCTCTCTCTCTCTCTTTGTGCCTCCTATGCTTTTCTTCAGGCAAAAAATTGCCCTTTAGGTCAATGACACGTGTTGCAGGTCTCTCTCTCTCCCTCTCCCTCTCTCTATCCGTGCGCGAAGGCGTTTCTGACAGCCAAGAATGTGGCGAGGCCCCAGAAAGTGGAAAAATAAGAAAGCCACTCACCAAGGTCTCGCTACACTACCGTGGTCACCGAGACGAAAAAGAAAGGGGTTGTATTTGTCCACGGTCTAGTGGAAGATTCATTCGCATTTTGCACATTTGTTGAGGAGTGGAGAAAGGGCCCACCCCATAATATGGAAAGGTACGTCGCTACTTTACTTTTACCTTTTTGCCAAGGCTCTTAGGCCCCCAACAGTGGTCCAGAACTGAGCCTATTCAGCCTGGACCTGACCCCCTTGTGCATGCAAAGTTGGTCTCGTTCACTCGAACATAACGCGTATGCGTTGTAAACGAATACAATGCACGATACATGTTGTATTCGTTTACAACGCATACACCTTATGTTCGTGGGAAGACGGTATGGAGGTCGGACACCACGCTGGTAGGGATATCGCTCATATTGTGACTGTGGGAAGCCGCAAGAATGGCTGGCCAGCTGACGTCGATCATAGCCAACGTCTCTACTCAGGAAAGGGAGAAAAATGCTACCAGGGTGCACCATCGCTTCGACGGTGGGGACTGACTTTCGTGTCAGACAATGTCATGGACCACAGATAAAGAACCGACCAACGTGGCAAAAAACAGACCCTCAAAAACAAACAAAAACATCGCTGACTGTCAATGGAAGGGTAAGGGTTGGCCGGGTTTGCCAGGCGCGGTCTTTGCGCCAAGACAAAAGAAGCAGGTTTTTTTTCTTTGCCCTTTTTTTTGCAAAGCTAATTTATATTCTTCTCTCAATTTCACCTTTCACTATCTACCTACCACCATTCCTAAGCCTATACAGGGGACCCCTGCATAGCTACCTCTCACAATGCTTCTCTCAATTTCACCTTTCACTATCTACCTACCACTATTCCTAAGCCTATACAGGGGACCCCTGCAAGCATAGCTACCTCTCACAATGAAGGGGATGCATGTTGCCCCCCGCACTAATCGGCGGTGGTCAGGTAGTAGGGTGGGGCCACCGGTGGGGGGGGAAGGCTAACGCAAAGACCGAGCATTTTGCCAGTGGCTGCCCCTGCCCGTGTACTTCCCCCATCCCCCATTCAACAACTGCTGGACCCGGTACCGTGTGGATCCCCGTCTTTTACAAGAAGTTCCTCCACTGGGATTTGTGGGATCCTTTCCCCCGTGCTCTGGCGAATCGGTTGCCCCAGGTTCAGCTTTGCGAAGGCTTGGGGCCCGTGCGGGTGTCAGGAAGGGTGCGGGCCAGGGCAGCGCAAGGACGTTACCACCCTTGAAGAACCGGTCTGGCCGTTTCCAGGTCTCCTTGAATCCGTCGTGCAGTGAGGGCCTTGTGGCAGTATACTAGGCTGCGGCACGGCGTCGGAGGTCCTCTTTCGCGCACAGTAGCCATGGCGAAGTTCAGGGTGCGTAGCGGCCGATGCTCTCATCTCTTGCGTGTGTGATCAGTAGCATGGTGATGTTGTTGTTGCGACGGGATACTCTCTAGTCCATTGACAACCAATGTTCCTGATTTCTCTCATCGCTTCTGATCGTTTTCCTTATGCTGTCCTTGTTTCTCCTGTCTATCTCTCTGTGTTTCCACTTGTCCGTCCGTCTGTCTATCTTTCTCGTTCTTCCTCGTGGTCTGTGCATGCGCATGACTGATTTTGCTCCTTATCCCTTTTTACCTGCTCTTTCCCGATTTCATAAGCTTTCTCACCCAGTCTTTTCCTGCCCTTCGCTGTCCTTCTCTCCCATCCGTTCGTTCACTTCTCCTTCCTTCCTCCTCCTTTTACCTCCGATCTCGTCTTCTTTGTCTCATCTTCACGTTGATCTTCTTGATCTATAGATCTTATTCTCTCGTCCTCTTTCCCGATGACAAGCGTCGGCACAAAGCAACACGCGGCGCGCTCAGTTGTCGAAGTTTTCGGTTTCGATCATTATTTCTCTCTATTGAATTTCTAGGGTTTCCTCTTTCTATCTCTCCAGCAGGGTTTGCGGCACGTCACCCTGTGTCTTTCGTCGGGGCTGGTCACTTCATTCATTCTGTATTGCGCACTCTCCCAATCTACCACTCATTTTTCTACCTCTCCTTTCCTATCCGCAGCTTTGCTCTCTCCTCTCCTTCCTCCCCGTCTCCTGTCCTGTCTTCAATCCTCTTCTTTCCGCTGTCCTATTCCGTCTCCTCTCCTTTCTCCCCGTCTCCTCCCCGTCTCCTGTCTTATCTCCATTCCTTCTGTCACCTTCGATCTCGTCTTCATCTCGTCTTCATCTCGTCTTCATACTCACGTTCTTGATCTCTAGAATGTTTTTTTTGTAACTTTCCATTTGTTAAGTGCATTGCTTGTTGTTGCATTATTTTCTCTTGGGTTGAGCTCCGACTCTAATTTGTCAAGAGACATGCAGCGTACTCGCAATTGACCGATGATGCACGAACGCAGCGGTTGATGACCTGGAAGGAAGAAGGAACGCGAGGGCATGCTCTCTCCGTGAATGGCAATGAAAAGTGACTGCTGCTACGGCTGTTCTGGGTTGACACGAGAATGTTGTGCACTGCTTGCCCGTGCGTATTCGTATTGTGTCCAACTTTGATGCCGGTCTCTCTATTTGGTTTTTATGGGCCTTAACTATATTCGGGCGGTGCGTTTTTGACAGTCAAGTTTGTAATCTGTTTGTTAATCGTCTTCTGCCCTCGTCTCTCTGCAGTTTCATCAGTATCATGTCGTCGGCCGTGCTCTGCCGAAGCCGGGGGATGAGAGTCCGAAGATTTACCGGATGAAGCTGTGGTCGACGGATGAAGTGCGAGCCAAAAGTAAATTTTGGTAGGTCGTCTTTCCTCCCCCCCCCCTCTTCTCTCTTCAATCGCCCTATCGTTATGCAGAGTGTTATTTGAGCTGAATGTTTAGAGAATTTTTATGACGCCTGGTTCCTGTATCGCTCGGAAAGGTCAGTAACGTCTTTTGGAAGTGAGCATGGTGGTTGTGAGCCGTCTTGAGGCTTGCGGGGAGATTTTTATGATGCTCGTTCCTCACGACTGTTTTTCATCGTTGGTGTTTGGTGCCAGGTATTTCTTGCGAAAGCTGAAGAAAGTGAAGAAAGCCCATGGCCAGATTCTTGCCATCAACGAGGTTCGTAGGGTGTTGTTGGTTCTGATATGAATTTTTTCGTTCGCTTGTAGTATTTTGAATTTCCATGACTATTAATTCCTGGAATGCCGTGCGAGGTCGGCATGCGAAATAAAACTGCATAGCATGTGTCTCTCTCTCGTCTTTCGCCCTCCTGCGGTCGAAACGAGCGCTCAGCCTTCGATGCCAGGCAGCAGCCTTCTGCAAGCAATGCTTTTTTTTTGTGCGTGGCCTGATTTTCTGACACTTGGCAACCTCTGCCTAAGTGTATTTGTGAACTCGACCCCATTATGTTTTCGTTCTGTCGTTTTGAAAATTAGGATCATCATTTGACGGACGTTTGTTGTGAGGTGCAGAAAATCGCTTAGAGTTTCCTCTAACGCACATATCCACAAAGACGTCCAGATTCGGCCGTTTGCGACAGAGCATCACCCGTCTGTCTACTAAGCTTCGTGTCCCCTCCTGGATGAATCCGTTCTTTTCCGCGGTCGTTTTCCTGTCGTTTTTGCCCCGTCTGAGTGTGTAGATTCGTATCTCTCCTTTTTGCCCTCAAGGTCAGCGCCGTTTCTCCCTCGTTGCTCTCATGGCTGCTGAGGTCGCCAGCTAGGTTGAATATGGGTCTCTCTTGCTTGACGTTGTTTTCCTATCCGTAATGAACGCTTTCATTGTTAGGGTTTTGCTCCATAGAAGCTCGTTGAGGGCTCCACTATCGTTTTTTCCCCCTCTTTATGGGATGTGTCCTCACGCGTGTTCACTGAAGATTTGCCCCACATTCACTGAAAGCCGAAGTTCCTCTTTGATCTCCGAGATCGGATTCCAAAGTGTCAACTGGAGACTACGTGAGATGGTTGTTGTTTTCCAAGCATTCCCTAAACAACGCTTCAATGCATCAGGCCACATTTCTGCCCTTGGTGGACTTGAAGAGCACTACGTGAGATGGTATCGTTTTCCAAAAATTCCCATAAAAACGCTGCAATGCATCAGGCCACACTTTTGCCCTCGGTGGACATGAAGAGCACTACGTGAGATGGTACCGTTTTCCAAGAATTCCCTAAAAAACGCTTCAATTCATCAGGCCACATCTTTGCCCTCGGTGGAAATGGAGCACGATTTGCCCATGCGGCGTGGTGCTGTTTTTGTGCGAGTCCCGAGCCCACGCATTCTTAAGGTATGGGCGCCCTTCTTAGTTCAAGAAGGGGGTAAACCTCAAAGACCCCGCAGCGGACATGACTTTTAGATCTCGTCTTTCTTTTCTTATGTCAGAGCCCTTTCTCCTAAGCCAGCCCTAACGTTGTTTGTGCAGCTCAGAGTTTCGGTATGCTTGTGGAAGGTACTTCACGTCTTGGGAAGAGGTGTTTGACTCTGGTCGTTTGTGGGTGTGCAGATTTTTGAGAAGTCGGCGACTACAATCAAGAACTACGGCCTGTGGCTTCGCTACCAGAGCAGGACGGGCTACCATAATATGTACAAGGAGTTCAGAGACACGACTCTGAATGGAGCAGTTGAGCAGATGTACTCGGAGATGGCGTCGAGGCATCGTGTGCGCTTCCCGTGCATCCAGATCATCAAGACGGCGACGATTCCTCCCAAGTTGTGCCGCCGTGACAACACCAAGCAGTTCCACGACGGGAAGATCAGGTTCCCGCTGACGTTCAGGAAGATTCGCCCGCCAACGAGGAAGTTGAAGACGACTTACAAGGCAACAAAGCCTGTTTGCTGCGTCTAAATGATCTTAACGGCAAGCGACGGAACATGTTATTTTTTGTTGGTAATCGGTGAATCGTTTCGCGTTGAGTTCGACGAGTGATCGCGAGACGGATCTACCGTACGATAGGGTATTTTCACGACGACGATTCGTAGGTAGCTGCTGCTGAGGCTGGTCCTGTGTGACCCAGTCTGAGTTTATCAGGGAAAAGTGAGCTCTGTGGTGTGTCTAAGCGTCACCCGTCCCGTGTAATGACTTGCTTTGGGGAAGAGCTGAAGATGCCGAGTATGCGACTGTTACGGCCGTTCGTTCGTCAATTAATTTCGCTCTGGTTGTCCTTTTCTGCGGTCTCTGAGCTTATCGGGGAAAAGTGACCTCCTCTGTGGCGTGTCTAAGCGTTGCCCGTTTAAGGACAGCTTTGTGGAAGAGCTAAAGATGTGAAGTATGTGACTATTGCGGTCATTCGTTCGTCAATTGATCTCGTTCTGGTTGCCGTTTTCCGCGGTCGTTGTACTCGATTTTCTTTCACGGGCTCTCGCTTTTGCAAGTCTGTGGCTCAATGTTTTGCATGCGGTACGTTGGCTGTCGCGTTTTCCAATGGACATGCCTCTACTTTCCAACGAATTGAAAAATGCAATTATGTGAAAGGAATTTGCATTAGGTGTTCAGGTCGGAACAATGGTGCAGAGATTGCTAAGATTGAATGCAAGGGATGCCTCCTGTCGGGGTCATAGGGTTGAAAACTTGAGGTTGGACTGCTGATGTGATTCCCCTGATCGTCGAGATGGGGGACCTACAGGACTGGCAGTGAGTGATATGGCTAACATCTGAGCGTATCCTCTCGATACTGTTTTTCCCCCAAGAGCGTATCGGCCCAGAGAGGAGTCAACTTACGGTTCTGTCAAAAGACGTGTACCAGCACCAATGTAATTAACTTGCTAAAGAATGCAGACTTGCAAATTCGATCAAACCTAGAACCCTAAGCCTTAAACGTTCGGCGAGGACGAACTGTCCTAGCTCAGTAGGTAACACCCACAAACTGTTGAGTCACAGACTTCAGTTCAATTTCCAATGACCGTAGTCATACCCACAAACTGTCGAGTCACAGACTTCAGTTCGATTTCCAATGACCGTAGTCCAAATTTCATTGGAGCGAGAGGTGTCGGCGAGCTCGAATATAACATTTCAAGCCTGTCGTCCTTTTTTAAAAAAAAGAACATCGGACAGAATGGTAGGTCCTTATCCATACTCAAGTGCATCCTGGTCTGTCTGTTGTAGTGGTTCGATCTCCGGACGTCGCCGGTGAAAATCTGACTAAGTTATGTTATAAAGACCCTTTTTTTGGGGCTCTGCTTGAACTACCAGGTCGGCAGACTGTCGAACCGGATTCTGATAGTCACCCTGGTCTTAGAAGCCTTGAAAGTCAGGCCTGCTGGGCGCAGCAAAAATGGGTATCGATAAGGCAATTCAGCCCCGTGATGAGTTCGGTGAATGTTCGACCAAAGTCTGCTACAAGTCGCCGTTCCGTGCCTTTTTCTCCGTCTGAGGTCGCTTGAAGTGCCAGGTCGGCAGACTGTTGAACCGGATTTCGTTACCCACCCTGGTCTTAGTAGCCTTTGAAGTCAGGCCTACTGGGCACAGCAAAGTTGGGTATCGATAAAAAGGAATTCAGTCACGTGATGAGTTTGGGGTGTGTCTGATGAAACAGTCTGTCACAGAGTTCACCGGGCAAGTCTTCTGGACAGTGTGTTTGTGAATCTCCGAGGAAATCTCTCCGTTGTTTGTTCTCCTCTCCCTGTGCCTATTGTTCACCGGGCAGTCGTGTGTGGCGATAGATAAATGTATGTTGTACTCTCTCGCTTTTTGCGCACACGATGCCGGGGTAGTCGTTATGGTAATACGCATATATGCTAGATGTTCCCGTAGCTGAGGTAAGGCGCTTCTCTATGGTGATGTCTGCGTTTTCCAGACTTGTCCGTAGATTTTTCTCACTTGATGAGCACGACACAACAACTCTCCATGCAATGCAGCAGTCACTGGTGACTGACGCACCTTCAGCGATGGTGGGGTGTCCAGCAAATCCAGGTTGATTCTGAACTTGCAGCCCGACAAGCCTCACTTGCTGAGCATGCAGGCTGTTTTGCGAAGCGTCTGGTTATTGTATCAGCTTGGGTTGGAAGTCTGGGTTTTCACCTGTGTTGCTCTCAGAACAATAAGCTCTAGGCCAATTTTTGTTTCGAACTGGCGGACTCGTCGAATCTCTTCTCAGATCGGGTGCTCACTCATGGAATGCACGGCTGTAAGTTCTCATCTATGTAGAGGTCTATGAACTTTTACCAGGCACCTACTTGGAATGAGCTCTGGGCCCATTCCTTCGTTTGTATGTTTGTCAATGTCCCTGTTGTTTCGTTGTCTTTCAATGTCACTGATCGGAATCATCATACCTGGCGTCTTCTGGCTCTGTGGACTCTTCTCATGCACTGGCTTTTAATGGCTCCCATGTATTCATGGGAAGCAGCATCAGCCATCTAGTTGTCGAACTTCAGTCATCCAGTTCTCACAGTGGGATCTGAGCAGGTTCTCAGCCATATAGTTTCCTCAGCCTGGATAGCAAAATGTTCTTCGCTATACTTAAGTCCCAATGTCCCGCTAATGTAGTTCTTATACCGGATTCCATCCAAACCTGGTAGCTTACACCCTTACCCATGTGAAAGCCCACCGTGTTGGCTGGTTATACTTATCCAGCACCTGTGAGAAAGCCTTGTGCCAGCCAACGAATACAGTACATGATTCATAATTGTAAGGACACTTGTATCTGATGCGAGTTCGATCGCTGGTACGATTATATATATACCCGGAGGTGGTGACTGACTCGTCTCTCGCCCAGCATTGTGTTTTCGAATTTTCACCCTCGGGCGTGCATCTGTTAGGGTGCGATGATTCTGGCTGTCTGTTGTCTGAAGACTAACACTCGCTCATCCTCTCCCCCTTCATTCTTTGTATGTATGGGCGTACTTGGAAGTCTATGTGAGCGAGTGTTGGTCTTCAGGCAACCGGAATCATAACAATGGGGTGTGTCGAAACTGTTCGTGAATTTGTCGGTTCTCCAAAAGTGTGAGTGCCAAGATTGCAGTTAGGAAATTTTAAAATACTGAGGTAGAAACGATATTAGATCGTCTGTACCCAAAACAGATGCGCTACCAGACCGCACCTTGTTATGTTCAATTGGTGATTAGTTCTACTAGCTGGCTAATTAAGATTGTATTGACTGGAACTGGTAAACTCGTTGAAGGATCACATCCTATGTTCCGGATATTAAGTCGTAATAATCAATCGGAGTTTGATCGTGGCTCACAGAATGAATGCTAGGATCAAATCGAAAACGGAGGGAGCCGTGGGGAGAGGAGTACACATACCGGATTCAACAGTCAGCGAGGTCAGATGTAAAGTTGAGTGATGCACTCTGCCTCCACTCCCGTGCACGGATTGGTCAGGAAGCCCGCTCACAAGTTACAATGGCTCGAGATTTTGGAGGCACTAGGTAGCACGAAAAACGTACGAAAAGAACCATTTTGGGGACCTGAATTATAGAGTTACCCGCACACAGCACACAATTATAAGTCGTGAAAATGGCGATTGAGCGGGAACGAAATTGAAATTGACACAATTACAAGTCGTGAGAAGGGCGATTGAGCGGGAACGAAATTGAAATTGAATCTTGAATGCGAGAACCCCAGAGAGGTTGAAGCGGGGCTGCACGTGACTGAGATTGGGAAAAAGGTGAGGCCTTTTGTGGTGACCTGTGTGTTTTGGCGTGCCAGTGACAACTGAGGCAGGCAAGCAGGGCCAGTGGCCCTAAAAGTAGTTCACGGAGCAAGGAGGCCCTGAACAAACGCCGAGTCGTGTACCGTTTGACTTGTTCGACTTGATTCTGCTACCCGGGTCTCTTCAAACAGCCTGTGCAAGTCGCTATGTGATACACCTGTGACGAGTCTGGTTGCAATTCTTACAACAACCAGAACCACATTGCGCGTGCTCGTTTCCCATATGAAGAGCGATCTGCAGTTATTGTGGAGGGGCTGAAGGGGGCTGGGGGCTGGAATTCTGGCCAGACGAGAAACACGACTCGACTTTTGCAGTAGAGCAAGCGCCTCTCATGAGTTCCTACTCAAGTGTGGGCAGCGTGTGACCTCACGTTGATAGTGACCTCGGTCGAACATGACAGTCAGTACTCGATTTGACGGTGTTGAATTGTTTTTTTGATTTGAGAAAATTTGAGTTCAGTGTGTGGGCTCACCGTGTGCCACCGTCTTCCCCCGGACAACGCATATGCGTTGTATTCGAGTTTTTGAAAAATCACGATGATTCAAATACACCCGCTGTTCGAATATAGAATGCACGTGCCTTGTTTTTGAATACCACCGTCTTCCACTGGACATAATGCATATGCGTTGTATTCGAGTTTTTGAAAAATCACGATGATTCAGATATACCCGATGGCCGAATATAGAATGCATGTGCCTTGTTTTCGAATAGAAAGCGACCTATACGTTGTATTCGTTTACGGCACGTGGTTATGTTCGGTGGAAGACGGTAGACACCCTGGTCGAACGTGCAGGAGGCCGATAATCACTACATTCTGGAGTTTTGAATTCTTGTAATTTGAGAATTCTACGGTTTTTTTTTTAATTAGTTCACTTATTTTCGGTAATCCATTATGCATAAAAGAAGACGCAAATGAAATACACAAACAAAGGAATTGCGTTAAATATGCAAAAATTGATCTCGTCGAGGCAATTTGTTGTACACTGTACGTTGTTGCGGTGATTTTCCCCCCCCGTGATTGTTTGCCAATTTATCCCAGATTTGTGCATTCGTTTTTAAGATTGGCAACATTCTCAATTGACTATGAAAAACTTTTGGCCTTTTCGAAGAGACTCTAGGCACGCAGGTTAAAAAAAATAAAAAATAAAAAAAATTCCCTTTTGAGTCAGCCGGCGCTTGATTCAAACTATACGGCCAGAACGGAAGTCAGCTCCATGCAGTGGTTCCGATTGATATTGAAATGACTCGAGAACTTTGTCATTTCGATTTTTCGAGTCCTTGGGTCCCTGGAGATGGATAGAACTACTCAAAAGCAAAAAAGTAATTGGGGGTGAGAAGAGCATGAAATTTATGAACAATTTGCTGGAGCGGAACTAACTATACTTTATTAGAATGAAGAATTACAAATTTGTTCGTCTTCCCCCGAACACAACGTGCCCTGATTTTGGCTGCATCTGGCCGGAAATATAACTCGTGTACATTTCATTTTTAGGGTGCGTTATGTTCCGGGGAAGACGGTAGCGAGTGACAGGCAGCTGGGGTTTTCTGTTTTTTTTAATGATAATAATGCCAATAACAGTATGAAGGGGATCAGAGGCAGGTAGGACCTTGTTTACGATGGTGACGGCATTGAATGTGCGAGGATAGGAGTGACAGAAGGGGACGAAACTAGGTAATCTCCGGTTGTTGCTGTTAGAGGTCACAAGAACAGCGTTTAAGATCCTCGTGGAAGGATGCAGTCAGCGACCTGAGCTTGTGCATCTCCCGTAGTCCATGCAGCATGACTGTAGCTGCTACCGGTACTTCAGCCGGTTTGTGGCTACAACTGTATCACGAAGAAGCACAACTTCTTTCTACAGCCTCATCGAAGCTTTTTTATTGCAGCTCCAGCTCAGCTGTTCTTCTAAGTATCAACGACCGTGCAACAGTTTTCGTCTGGAAGGAATCATTTCCCTACTGCGAAGGAGCATATGTTCCAAAGAATCCAAGCTGCACTGCGCCGTCGCACCGCACCAAGTGCAGCTGCTGCTCATGCCCCTGCCCCTGTGCATGTGTAGGATCAGCATCAGCATGATGGTTTATCCAAGATCCTTCACCCTCCGTTGCTTTATGCCTATCCTTGTTCCTCTGTGACAGTGCAGGTTCCCACCTATTTCTTCAGAGGCGCGCCGGTTTATGCGCTGGCCTGAAACGGAACGGCGGCTGCCCGATAAATCTAATCGAGGCCACTCTTGATTTTTTTTGGGGCCGGTGTGCAGTGTGCCCGCAGCCAACATATAGGAAAGGACTGGTGGTTTAACCCATATCCCATATTCCTCCACATTAGCAGCTTTCCCTGCCCGGGATGGAAAGTCGAAGCCGTCTCTCTGTGACCTCGTTGCAGCTCTCTAGCCAGAATAGCACAATGCGGCCGTTGCATTCTGCACTGATGTTAGAGCTCTCCCTAACTGATATACTGCGTTCTCCTGTGCTGGCTAGGACAGGGCGAAAAGTTACGTCCTCATCTTGTTGCTACGATAGGCCATTTTGCATCTCTCCTGTGGTCGGCAAGATCGGAGGTTTCAGGTTTCCCAGCTCTACTCTAGGTTACCACTGCTCGGTCTGGTGGTCAGTCTAGGACATTGCAGCTTTGTGGATTGGATGGATATGACACGATATGGCATCGACATTGTGCGACCTCCTCTGACTCGAGTCTGATGCAGCACAGCTTCAGCCTTTGGCTGGTCGGATGGAGCCTCTTCTTCTGCGTTGTCCGTGATGGGGGTTAAGTTAATGACTGCTGCTTGTGCAACTCTTGGACAGCAAGCTCCTCCTTGGGCAGCCTCCAGTCTGACAATAGGAGGTCAAGGCGGGGAGGAGGCAGTGGAGGCGGTCGCCCAGCTGGACCACCCGTTCCATTAGGTACCTAGTTTTGGAGCCCTTGGCATTGCACTTCCTGCGGAGCGGAGGCTGTGAAGAGGAGGAGGAGATGAAGCCAGCATCCCTTCACTGCGTGCGGGATGCAACGGACTGTGCCGCCATTGGGTACCTATTTTCGGAGCCCTTGGCATTGCAGTTCCTGCGGAGCGGAGGCTGTGAAGAGGAGGAGATGAAGACAGCGCCCCTTCACTGCTTGCGGGATGCAAGGGACTGTGCCGCCGTGCAGCATATGACACCGATGCCACACGCGCTTGACTCTGACATTTCCGAACCGCGATGCCATTTTGTATGATCTTACCAGCCAGACTCTTGTACAGGTCCGATCCGTCATTGCATAGAGGGCAGACCAACCGGTACTGCCCAGCCTCGTATGAAGGGAGGAATATATTCTCTCCGGCTAGCAAATCGAACAGCGGTGGTGATGGTGGTGGCTGCTTGCTCTTGTTTGATGACACTCTTAGGGTGCCTCAACGGTTCTCCTCTGGAAGACCCACATTGCAATGAAGAGTTGTTCACGTAACAGCATTTCTCCGAGGTTTTTCTCTTGTCGTTTGTAACGTGGAGAATGTGGGTGGCAGACTAGCAGTGATCTGTTTCATCCTTTTGCAGGAAGAAATCTCATTGCACGGAGCAAGGAATAGCTTCTGCTTCGTCCAGATGGGAGCCCAAGGCTGGCGTGCGTTTGCTCCCTCCATGTGCAGGCAGCTCACTACTATGGCCTGGTTTCCTTACGGCACTCGAGTTGGCAACCCGCAGCTGAACCTGCGCTGCCATAAGGGCTGATGGATGCCCGCTGGACAGCACGAAGGAACCGTTCGGAGCGGTGATGGGGCTGGAAGCAGCCATGGCAATCAGACTTTGCCAAAAGATTACTGGGGAGCGCTTTTTCCGTCGTTGACCAGGACATGCAAGACATAATAATATTTTTCTTCTGCCAAGAATGACACTGCTCTGGCATTTGCTGGCCCTGGTTCATTCATACAAAGCCTCGTCGAGAACACTTTCTCTAAT